GCACAGAGGGAAAGGAGGGCAGGTTTTGGTGATTTTTGGTGTTTTTTGGTGATTTTGGGTGTTCTTGACTCGAATATCAAACCCTCAGGCAGGCACAGGCAGCTGTGAGTTGGTTTTTGGTGTTCCCACACCCCCTGCACCTGGTTGTATTCAATTCTTCTCCCTGGAGAGCAGAACTGGAGGAACCTCAGCCAGGATCTCTGTGGAAGAGATGGAAAGGAGGGCAGGTTTTGATGATTTTGGTGATTTTTGGTGATTTTGGGTGTTCTTGACTCGAATATCAAACCCTCAGGCAGGCACAGGCAGCTGTGAGTTGGTTTTTGGTGTTCCCACACCCCCTGCACCTGGTTGTATTCAATTCTTCTCCCTGGAGAGCAGAACTGGAGGAACCTCAGCCAGGATCTGTGTGGAAGAGATGGAAAGGAGAGCTGGTTTTGGGTGTTTTTTGGTGATTTTGGGTATTTTGATTTAAATACCAAACCCTCAGGCAGGTACAGCAGCTGTGAGTTGATGTTTGGTGTTCCCACACCCCCTGCAGCTGATTGTATTCAATTTTTCTGCCTGGAGAGCAGAACTGCCAGGATCTGTGTGGCACAGGTGGAAAGGAGGGCAGATTTTGGGTGGTTTTTGGTGATTTTGGGTATTTTGATTTAAATACCAAACCCTCAGGCAGGTACAGCAGCTGTGAGTTGATGTTTGGTGTTCCCACACCCCCTGCAGCTGATTGTATTCAATTTTTCTCCCTGGAGAGCAGAACTGGAGGAACCTCAGCCAGGATCTGTGTGGCACAGGTGGAAAGGAGAGCTGGTTTTGGGTGTTTTTTGGTGATTCTGGGTGTTTTTGATTTGAATACCAAACCCTCAGGCAGGCACAGGCAGCTGTGAGTTGATTTTTGCTGTTCCCACACCTCCTGCACCTGGTTGTATTCAATTTTTCTCCCTGGAGAGCAGAACTGGAGGAACCTCAGCCAGGATCTCTGTGGCACAAAGGGAAAGGAGGGCAGGTTTTGGAGATTTTGGTGTTGTTTAGTGATTTTGGGTGTTTTTGATTCGAATACCAAACCCTCAGGCAGGTACAGCAGCTGTGAGTTGGTTTTTGGTGTTTCCACACACACATTACCTGATTGTGTTTAATATTTCTGCCTGGATCTGTGTGGCACGGATGGAAAGGAGGGCAGGTTTTGATGATTTTGGTGTTTTTTGGTGATTTTGGGTGTTTCTGCTTGCAGGCTGAAGACCAGGACCTCGGCCAGGTTCGGGCTGTCGGCGCAGCCGCGCCTCGTGGACATCATCGCGGCCGTGCCGCCGCAGTTCCGGAAGGTTCTGCTGCCCAAGCTCAAGGCCAAGCCCATCAGGACGGCCAGTGGGGTGAGACAAAAGGATTTTCCCTCCTTCCCCCACGCCCTCCCTGCTCCCAGCCCCAAATTTGGGTTCAGTCCCCACCCAAAACCAGGGGGGGCGTTGGTTTTTGTGCAGGGAGAAGTTTGGGGGGAGGTTCCTTCCTTGGGGGTGTTCCTGTGGCTGCTGCACCCTGGAAGTGCCAAGGAAAGCACCCTGGGGTGGTGGAGGGTGTTGGGATTGGGATTTAAGGTCCTTCCAAGCCAAAACATCCTGAGATTCCCTGAGGAAAAAGGGGGATTGTGTCCGTGTCACTGGGGGTCTTTTCAGAGAGCAGTTAATTCCATTTACTGTGAATCACCTAAATCTCCATATCAGACCCAAATTTATACTGAAATCACCTAAATCTCCATGTCAGCCCCCAATTTATTCTGAAATCACCTAAATCTCCATGTCAGCCCCCAATTTATTCTGAAATCACCTAAATCTCCATGTCAGCCCCCAATTTATTCTGAAATCACCTAAATCTCCATGTCAGCCCCCAATTTATTCTGAAATCACCTAAATCTCCATGTCAGCCCCCAATTTATTCTGAAATCACCTAAATCTCCATGTCAGCCCCCAATTTATTCTGAAATCACCTAAATCTCCATGTCAGCCCCCAATTTATTCTGAAATCACCTAAATCTCCATGTCAGCCCCCAATTTATTCTGAAATCACCTAAATCTCCATGTCAGCCCCCAATTTATTCTGAAATCACCTAAATCTCCATGTCAGCCCCCAATTTATTCTGAAATCACCTAAATCTCCATGTCAGCCCCCAATTTATTCTGAAATCACCTAAATCTCCATGTCAGCCCCCAATTTATTCTGAAATCACCTAAATCTCCATGTCAGCCCCCAATTTATTCTGAAATCACCTAAATCTCCATGTCAGCCCCCAATTTATTCTGAAATCACCTAAATCTCCATGTCAGCCCCCAATTTATTCTGAAATCACCTAAATCTCCATGTCAGCCCCCAATTTATTCTGAAATCACCTAAATCTCCATGTCAGCCCCCAATTTATTCTGAAATCACCTAAATCTCCATGTCAGCCCCCAATTTATTCTGAAATCACCTAAATCTCCATGTCAGCCCCCAATTTATTCTGAAATCACCTAAATCTCCATGTCAGCCCCCAATTTATTCTGAAATCACCTAAATCTCCATGTCAGCCCCCAATTTATTCTGAAATCACCTAAATCTCCATGTCAGCCCCCAATTTATTCTGAAATCACCTAAATCTCCATGTCAGCCCCCAATTTATTCTGAAATCACCTAAATCTCCATGTCAGCCCCCAATTTATTCTGAAATCACCTAAATCTCCATGTCAGCCCCCAATTTATTCTGAAATCACCTAAATCTCCATGTCAGCCCCCAATTTATTCTGAAATCACCTAAATCTCCATGTCAGCCCCCAATTTATTCTGAAATCACCTAAATCTCCATGTCAGCCCCCAATTTATTCTGAAATCACCTAAATCTCCATGTCAGCCCCCAATTTATTCTGAAATCACCTAAATCTCCATGTCAGCCCCCAATTTATTCTGAAATCACCTAAATCTCCATTTCAGCCCCCAATGTATTCTGAAATCACTTAAATCTCCACACCAGCCCCCAATTTATTCTGAAATCACCTAAATCTCCACATCAGCCCCCAATTTACCCTAAACCACCCAATTCTTCATACCCGACCCCACACAACTTATTCCTTAATACATTATTTATTTCTTTTATGCACCCTGAGGACATTAAATAACATTTATACTGAAACCACCAAATTTTTTATATCAGACCTAATTCTCCACATCAGACCCAAATTTATACTGAAACCACCAATTTTTTTTATATCAGACCTAATTCTTCATATCAGACCCCAATTTGTACTGAAATCACCTAAATCTCCATTTCAGCCCCCAATTTATTCTGAAATCACCTAAATCTCCATTTCAGCCCCCAATTTATTCTGAAATCACCTAAATCTCCACATCAGCCCCCAATTTACCCTAAACCACCCAATTCTTCATGCCCGACCCCACACAATTTATTCCTTAATATATTATTTATTTCTTTTATGCAACCTGAGAACATTAAATAACATTTATACTGAAGCCACCGAATTTTTTATATCAGACCTAAATCTCCATATCAGACCCAAATTTATACTGAAAATCACCTAAATCTCCACATCAGCCCCCAATTTACTCTAAACCACCCAATTCTTCATATCAGACCCAAATTTATATTGAAACCACCTAAATTTCCTTATCAGCCCCCAATTTATACTGAAAATCACCTAAATCTCCACATCAGCCCCCAATTTACCCTAAACCACCCAATTTTTCATACCAGACCCCACACAACTTATTCCTTAATACATTATTTATTTCTTTTATGCAACCTGAGAACATTAAATAACATTTATACTGAAGCCACCGAATTTTTTATATCAGACCTAAATCTCCATATCAGACCCCAATTTGTACTGAAATCACCTAAATCTTTATATCAAACCCAAATTTACACTGAAACCACCAAATTTCTTATATCAGACCTAATTCTCCATATCAGACCCCAATTTGTACTGAAATCACCTAAATCTCCATATCAGACCCCATTTTATACTGAAACCACCTAAATCTTTATATCAAACCCCAATTTACACTGAAACCACCAAATTTCTTATATCAGACCTAACTCTCCATATCAGACCCCAATTTATATTGAAACCACTTAAATCTCCACATCAGACCCCAATTTATACTGAAACCACCAAATTTTTTATATCAGACCTAATTCTCCATATCAGCCCCCAGTTTGTACTGAAATCACCTCAATCTCCACTTCAGCCCCCAATTTATTCTGAAATCACCTAAATCTCCATATCAGACCCCAATTTGTACTGAAATCACCAATTTTTTTTATATCAGATCTCATTCTCCAAATCAGACCCCAATTTGTACTGAAATCACCTAAATCTCCATATCAGACCCCAATTTATTCTGAAATCACCTAAATCTCCATTTCAGCCCCCAATTTATTCTGAAATCACCTAAATCTCCATTTCAGCCCCCAATTTATTCTGAAACCACCTCAATCTCCATTTCAGCCCCCAATTTATTCTGAAATCACCTAAATCTCCATTTCAGCCCCCAATTTACCCTAAACCACCCAATTCTTCATACCAGCCCCCACACAACTTATTCCTTAATACATTATTTATTTCTTTTATGCACCCTGAGAACATTAAATAACATTTATACTGAAACCACCAAATTTTTTATATCAGACCTAATTCTCCATATCAGACCCCAATTTGTGCTGAAATCACCTAAATCTCCATATCAGACCCCAATTTATTCTGAAATCACCTAAATCTCCACGTCAGCCCCCAATTTATTCTGAAATCACCTAAATCTCCACATCAGCCCCCAATTTATTCTGAAATCACCTAAATCTCCACATCAGCCCCCAATTTACCCTAAACCACCCAATTCTTCATGCCCGACCCCACACAATTTATTCCTTAATATATTATTTATTTCTTTTATGCAACCTGAGAACATTAAATAACATTTATACTGAAGCCACCGAATTTTTTATATCAGACCTAAATCTCCATATCAGACCCCATTTTATACTGAAACCACCTAAATCTTTATATCAAACCCCAATTTACACTGAAACCACCAAATTTCTTATATCAGACCTAATTCTCCATATCAGACCCCAATTTGTACTGAAATCACCTAAATCTTTATATCAAACCCAAATTTACACTGAAACCACCAAATTTCTTATATCAGACCTAACTCTCCATATCAGACCCCAATTTATATTGAAACCACTTAAATCTCCACATCAGACCCCAATTTATACTGAAACCACCAAATTTTTTATATCAGACCTAATTCTCCATATCAGACCCCAGTTTGTACTGAAATCACCTAAATCTCCATTTCAGCCCCCAGTTTATTCTGAAATCACCTAAATCTCCACATCAGCCCCCAATTTATTCTGAAATCACTTAAATCTCCATATCAGACCCCAATTTGTACTGAAATCACCTAAATCTCCATTTCAGCCCCCAATTTATTCTGAAATCACCTAAATCTCCATTTCAGCCCCCAGTTTATTCTGAAATCACCTAAATCTCCACATCAGCCCCCAATTTACCCTAAACCACCCAATTCTTCATACCAGCCCCCACACAACTTATTCCTTAATACATTATTTATTTCTTTTATGCACCCTGAGAACATTAAATAACATTTATACTGAAACCACCAAATTTTTTATATCAGACCTAATTCTCCATATCAGACCCCAATTTGTGCTGAAATCACCTAAATCTCCATATCAGACCCAAATTTATACTGAAAATGACTTGAATCTCCATATCAGACCCAAATTTATACTGAAAATCACCTAAATCTCCATATCAGACCCAAATTTATACTGAAAATCACCTAAATCTCCATTTCAGCCCCCAATTTATTCTGAAATCACCTAAATCTCCATTTCAGCCCCCAATTTATTCTGAAATCACCTAAATCTCCATTTCAGCCCCCAATTTATTCTGAAATCACCTAAATTTCCATTTCAGCCCCCAATTTATTCTGAAATCACCTAAATCTCCATTTCAGCCCCCAATTTATTCTGAAATCACCTAAATCTCCATTTCAGCCCCCAATTTATTCTGAAATCACCTAAATCTCCATTTCAGCCCCCAGTTTATTCTGAAATCACCTAAATCTCCACATCAGCCCCCAATTTACCCTAAACCACCCAATTCTTCATGCCAGCCCCCACACAACTTATTCCTTAATACATTATTTATTTCTTTTATGCACCCTGAGAACATTAAATAACATTTCATTCATTAACCATCCCCATTTCACTCTGCCTTTGTTTCCCCCTCCCACCCTTTCCCCACAGCTATTTTAGCACAAAACACCCCCAAAACACCCCCAAAACACCCCAAACCCTGCAGGAAGCCCAGGATTTGGGGGATTTTGGGGCTGATTCCTCAATTCCCCACGCAGATCGCCGTGGTGGCCGTGATGTGCAAACCCCACCGCTGCCCCCACATCAACTTCACGGGCAACATCTGCGTGTGAGTATGGGGAGGGGGGGCCAGATGTGCCAGATGTGGCTTTTCTGCCCCCAGGGAGGGGTTTGGGGGGTCACCATGGGCTCAAGGAGGCTCCAGAGGGGGAATTTCCCTGGCTGGAATCTCCAGGTGGGCTTGGGGTTCCTCCCAGGGAGAGCCTCTCCTCATTTTTTAGCTCAGTGCCTCTGGAATTTCATTCATTCCCTTTTTATCTCCCTAAATTTTTTAATATTTCCCAAATCTTTCCTCCCTGCTGTGTGGAGAAAGTTCAGCAGCAGTTTGGGAGTGAATTCTTGTGGTTGGTTTTAACCTGGGGAGGCTCAGGGTGGATTTTGGGATAATTCCTGCCTGGAAAGGGATTCCAGGTCCCTGTGGATGTGGCACCTGGGGACACTGCTCAGGCCTGGGTGCTCTCAGGGGTCTTTTCCATTTTTTTGTGATCCCATCACCCAAAATTTCCTTTTTCCAGCATTCCTGGGTAACCCCAGCCCTGCAGGAGCACCACACCAAAATCTGCTTTTTTATCTTCTCCTCCTCCTTTCATGACCCCTGCCCCCAGGGAGGGGTTTGGGGGCTCACCCTGGGCTGAAGGAGGCTCCAGAGGGGGAATTTCCCTGGCTGGAACCTCCAGGTGGGCTTGGGGTTCCTCCCAGGGAGAGCCTCTCCTCATTTTTTAGCTCAATGCCTCTGGAATTTCATTCATTCCCTTTTTATCTCCCTAAATTTTTATTATTTCCCAAATCTTTCCTCCCTGCTGTGTGGAGAAAGTTCAGCAGCAGTTTGGGAGTGAATTCTTGTGGTTGGTTTTAACCTGGGGAGGCTCAGGGTGGATTTTGGGATAATTCCTGCCTGGAAAGGGATTCCAGGTCCCTGTGGATGTGGCACCTGGGGACACTGCTCAGGCCTGGGTGCTCTCAGATGTTTTTTCCATTTTTTTGTGATCCCATCACCCAAAATTTCCTTTTTCCATCATCCTGGGTAACCCCAGCCCTGCAGGAGCACCACACCAAAATCTGCTTTTTCACCTTTTCCTCCTCCTTTCATGACCCAGAGCCACCCCTCCACATTCCCTTCCCACCTCTCTGATTATTAATTCATTATTATTTTCTTAATTAATTACTATAAATTTATTATTAATTTTCTTTGACCTCCTGCTGTCAAAATCTCCTGGAATCAGCTCAGTTTAATTCAAATTAAAGAATAAAACTTTGGCTTATTTTAAATTCCCTTCCTCATTTGGACTCAATTCCCTCAAAATCTGATTTTGCTCAAGCTTTTCCCATATTTTCATTTATTCCCTGCCATCAATCCATGAAATTTTCCAGGTAATTCCACGTCTGAAACAGCTTGGAGTGCACAAACCCCTGGCCAACAAATCACTGTGGGCGTGATATTTAATATAAATATCAAATTATTGGGGTTTTGAGAGTTTGATTCCTGTTTTACTTGAGGGAATCATGGAAAACATTCAAATTGTGAAATTAATTTTTTAAAAACATTCAAATTGTGAAATTAATTTTTTAAAAATCAATTTATCTGCTTGTAATTGTTGTCACAAACTTAAATTAATAAAATTAATAAAAAAATAAATGTAATAATACCAAATTAGTGGAATTCTGAGAGTTTCATTCCTGTTTTTTCTGTTTTTCCCCTCAGGTACTGCCCAGGAGGGCCTGACTCTGATTTTGAATATTCCACCCAGTCCTACACAGGATATGAGGTGCTGATTTCTTTAATTTTTCCCAAATTTTTTTATTTTTCCAACATTCCTTAAGCCTGGCTTTGGTTTAGGCTGGGCTTTATTTCTGCAGCTGACTTGTCTTGCAAAAATAAAACAAAAAAATAAATACAAAGATCAAACCAAATTCAATTTTCATTAACTTCAGGTTTCAAAGCAGCTCAAAGTTTAGGAGTGAAATTCTTAATTACAATAATTAATGATGGGTTAAAATTAAAAAAAAATTGTGTAAGAAGGGTCCTCAAACACAAAGACATGGAGAGGTTCTTACTGGATTAAAAAAATATAAATTTTGGTTAAAACCCTCATTTTTAGCCTCTGAAATTAAATTAATTCTCTTTTACCTGCAGTGATAAATTTAAATTTTTATATTTCCAAACTGTTTCCTCCCTGTTGTCTGGAGAAAGTTTAACAGCAGTTTGGGACTGGTTGTAACCAAAAATCTCAAACCTGTGCTAGGGGATGTGAAGGGGGAAAATGAGATAAAATCCATCATTAATTTGGTGAAAATTCCTTTAAAAATGGGAATTTTGTCTGTTCCACCTCAGTGATTTAAACAGGAAAAAAAAGAGAAATACCAAGAGCTGAAAATCTCCTTAAAATATTCTTAATAGGCTGGTGATGTAAAAAATGAATTTTTATGGATTTTCATGAAGGAATAAGTTTAATTTAGGAATATTTGAGATCAGGCTGAGTGTAGTAATTTGTAAAAACACAAATTTGTGGGTTTTGTAACAATTTGTGGCTCACTGCAGAGGTTTTTTAGCTTGGAGAGCACTAAAAATGGAATTATTTTGGTGTTTTTAGGTCACGTTGCCATCTCAGGGTGAAAATGTTGTATTTTTAAAAGGCTTTAAGGAGCCAAAATCATAATTACAATTTGACAGAGCTGGCTTGGGAGGCTTTGGGTCAATCAGGATTGGAAATTTTCAACATTTTGGGTTTTTTACACTGTTCTTTTTGGGGGGAAAGTCTCTAAAATGAAATTTTGGGTGTTTTTTCAGCCAACATCCATGAGGGCCATCCGGGCTCGCTACGACCCCTTCCTGCAGACGAGGCACAGAGTGGAGCAGGTACCTTTGTCCTTGGGTTTAACATGAAAAAAGAGAATTATTCCCATTTCTTGGACTGCTGGGCTGCAAAAATTAAATGAAATGACAAATGCAATTAATGCATTAATTAAATTTATACATTTTCTGTGTCCAACTCTCATTTCCATTTAAAAATGGTGAGTTTTGAACCTGTCCTGAGGTCTCTGCTGTGCAATAATTTAAATATTTGTTCCAAAATTACTTTATCTGGGGGTTTTTTGGGTGTGAAAAGTTTCTCAGTCCTGTTTTTGATCAGTTTCCTGTTGATCTCCAAACCCACTGGAAAATTCTCCATGAATTCAGCATTTTCTCCCTCAGGATTTTGAGGAGAGTTTGGAGATTGAAGGAATTTTTTTCGCCTTTTTGTCTCAATTTAGGTAATTTCAAACTGGAACCTGTAACTCAAATAATTACAATTTTTCAGAATTACACTGCACTGAGTTCTTACAGTAAAAAAAATTACTTTTGAGGGTTTTTTAAAAAGGAAAATGATTATAAAAAAATTAATTTTTCACTGATAAACCAACTAAAAACTGAAACGCAGCTTCACGAAATCAAGTCTCACGCACAGATCTCATGGATAAATGCCCTGATGATGCTTTTTCCCTTGATATTTTTAATTTTTCAGCTGAAGCAGCTGGGCCACAGCGTGGACAAAGTGGAATTTATCGTGATGGGTGGCACCTTCATGGCCCTGCCCGAGGCCTACCGCGATTATTTCATCAGGAGCCTGCACGACGCCCTGTCGGGCCACACTTCCAACAACGTGGCAGAGGCTGTCAGGTGGGCAATTGTTTAAATTGTTTAAATTGTTTGTTCTTCGAGATCCATGAGGAGAATCCTGTTTATTTTTTTGTTAAATATGTGGTTTTGGGCAGTGAATATTTGCAGACCCCGTGGAAGCGCAGGAAAAACCAAACTTCTCCCCTGATTTTTTTATTTTTTTTAGGTTTTTTTTGCCATTCCAGGCAGCCCTGTCACGCCTCACCGCCCTGATTTGGGCTTGTGACGAATGCCATGGGTTTATTCTGATTTATTCTTGATTGATTCTTGATTTATTCTTGATTTATTCTTTCTTTATTGCCTGGGACGTCAGGAGTGACTCAGCCCCGAGAGCGTCAGCGCTGCCGGCCCCTTCCAGCCCCAGGGTGTCACATCCAGAAACCACAGCCTGCTCCGCCCAGGGCCAGGGAATTCTGAATTTTCAGTGCTTGGTGGACAAAAAACCCCACAAAAAACCCACAAAAAACCCCACAAAAAACCCCGGAGGTTTGGTGTTTTGGAGTTGTTAGAAGAGCCAGCGTCCCCTGGGCGGGTTGGGTTTGCTGCCGTGCCGTTGTGGGGTTTTATTTGTGACATTATCCACCCCAAGAGCAGTGATTTCAGAGCTGTCACCTCCAGCAGAAGTGATTTTAAGGCTTTCTCCTCCAGCAGAAGTGATTTTAGAGCTGTCACCTCCAAGAGAAGCGATTTTAGAACCAGTCCTTTGTACCTCAAAGCTTAATTCGGTTTTTCCTCTGGAGGGCACCAAACACTTCAGCTCCTTTCATTTGCCTTTTTTTTATTTTTTTTCTTTTCCCTCCCACCTCTGCTCGCTCACAGACCAAACAAAAAGCACCCTGCTGTTCTTTCCAAGTGGGTTTTATCGAGATAAAACAGCAAACAAGTTGAGCAAAGAGTTTCTGAAGGACACAGCTCCTCGGGGAAGGAGGGAGCTTGTCCATTCAAATTGCTGCTGTGATTCACGATGTGGGAAGTCCATTTTTAAATTTTTTTTTTTCTGCTGCAGGTGTCTTAGCTGATTTTATTGGGCCTAAAATAATTTTTCAAGCTGCCTGGCCTTTGCTCTGCAGATAATAAGGGAACTATTTCTGCCACAGCAATTTTAAAGGCAAAGTGACTCTGTGGAGTCAGAGCGGCACGGATGGAGCAGGGTGACAAAAAACCTCAGCAGACACATAAAGGTTTATATTTTTAACACAAAACTCACTCTGAGTGCCTGGTAAATGCAGTTCTGTGGGAGTTACTCGAGTTGCATTTCCTGCGTGCTGGAGAGGAGGAGAAAACGGGGCTGGGATGGATCAGAGCTTTTGCTTTCTGTGCTCCTGGGCTGGGCTGTGGCTCTGTGTCACTGCAGCCCTGGCTGGGAGGGGCAGTGGCACTGGAGCTGAGCGCTCAGGGCTGAATTTGTGTCTTTTGTGGCCAGGATTCAGCTCCTTCAGCACTTCAGCAGAGGCTGGGAGGAGACCTGGGAGCGTTCTCCTGCTGTGTGCTGTGGGGGCTGCCCTCAGCAGAGCCCTGGGATCTGAATGGGATCTCCATGGGATCTCCATGGGATCTGAATGGGATCTCAATGGGATCTGAACGGGATCTGAATGGGATCTGAATGGGATCTCAATGGGATCTGGATGGGATCTGAATGGGATCTGAATGGGGTCTGAATGGGATCTCAATGGGATCTCCATGGGATCTGAATGGGATCTCAATGGGATCTGGATGGGATCTCAATGGGATCTGGATGGGATCTCAATGGGATCTGAATGGGATCTGGATGGGATCTCAATGGGATCTGGATGGGATCTCAATGGGATCTCAATGGGATCTGAATGGGATCTCAATGGGATCTGAATGGGATCTGGATGGGATCTCAATGGGATCTGAATGGGGTTCTGGAGGTTTGATTTCTTGGGCAAATCTTAATTTAAGTTCAGATTTTGTACAGATACTCCTTCATGTGGAAAGGGCCTTCAGCCAGGCTGCTGCTGTTCCCAGGGCCTTGCTGATGGCCCCAGCTCCCAAATCTCCTCCCTGGTGGATCCTGGACAATCCTGGATTGTGGTGGGTCACAAACCTGCCTGGATGGAAACACAGGAGTGTGGAGGAGCAGAGAACAGGCAGCAAGGGAAAAAACCACTAAATGACAGATCAAACTGCAGGGAGATGCTGGCAGTGGCCACACGACCTGCTGTGGGGATGTGTGGGGTGGTCAAAAACTTTCTTGGGAAACCTGCAGCTCCAGGGGCTGCTGTGGGGATTTCTGGCACCGCTGAATGGGGTTCTGGAGGTTTTATCTCTTGGGCAAATCTTAATTTAAGTTCAGATTTTGTACAGAGATTGCTTCGTGTGGGAAAGGACCTTCAGCCAGGAGAGAATCACAGAATCCTGGCGTGGTTTGGGTTGGAACGGACCTTAATTCATCCCTGCCACAGACAGGGACATTCCCCTCTCCCAGCTTGCTCCAAACCCCAATTTCCCCCCTTTTTACCCAGTCATTTCTGGTTTTTGTCCCAACCCAGGGACAAAACCCAGAAATGACTGGGTAAAAAGGGGGGAAATGGTGGCGCTGACAGCGACGTGCTGACCCGACCTGAGGGATCATCAATCTGGCACCCTCCTGCTGAGGGAATTTTCAATTTTCTCCTTGTGATGCTTCCTCTCCATCAGCCCTCTGAGGCTCCTGTGCCAGCTAATCTGATAACAAGGATGTGATTCCGTGCAGCTCCCAGCACAGCAGCCTGTCCTGGTGGTGGGACAGAGTAAAGAAATTATCCCTTGGGTTTCACCTGAAATCCCATAAGATTCTGGTTTTCTTGCAGATAAATATGTGAATTCATCGACCAAAAGTGTGGTTTTTTGCAGAGATAAACAGGGAAACTTCCAGGCTTTTTCTGTTGAGAGCGGGGGAAGGAAATGAATTCCCTGGGTTTTAATATTTCTGCAGCACCTCCCTTTTGGGGTAATAAACGCTTTTTTACACCCTTCAGACAGAAATCTTTGCTCGAGGTGCTTGGGTTTGCTTGAGAAATAGGGTTTGTTGAGAAATAGGGTTTGTTGAGAAATAGGAGTGGGTAAAGAATTGCAGAGCCGGGGGGGATCTTTGTTTTTGTGTGCAAGAGGACTGAGAAGTTTTTAATTTTCCTCACTGAGAGCACCACTTTAGAATTTCTGGGTGCCTGTCAAGCCGGGCTGTGGGCTCGCTGATAAGCTTCCCTTCCTCAGGAGCAGCTTTGCAATTATTAAAGATTTCACAATCGCCAAAGAATCGCCCGCAGGATGGATTTTTTTCTCCCCCTGGAGAAACTCATCTTGGCCCGGGAGCTGCTCCCATCCAGCCCCCGGCGTTCGAGTTGATTGCGGCTGCTTTTGCTCTTGGCCGAGGACAATCAGAGCCGGAGAAAGGTGTAAAAATGCGGATGCAAATGAGAATTGCTGCTCCTCTCACCTGACCCGTGAGTCATGAGGGGTGCTGGGCTCGCTGAGCTGCCACCAGCGCCGTGAGTCACCGCAGCAGCGGGAGCTGACTCCTAATGAGGGAACAGACCCGAGCGGGGCTGGGGAAAGGCAGGGAAATCGGGGATCTGGCTTGGGGAAAAGCAGGGAAATCGGGGATCTGCATCCCTGAGCAGGGAAATCGGGGATCTGCATCCACCAGCAGGGAAATCGGGGATCTGCATCCCTGAGCAGGGAAATCAGGGATCTGCATCCCTGAGCAGGGAAATCGGGGATCTGCATCCCTCAGCAGGGAAATCAGGGATCTGCATCCCTCAGCAGGGAAATCGGGGATCTGCATCCCCCAGCAGGGAAATCAGGGATCTGCATCCCTGAGCAGGGAAATCTGGGATCTGCATCCCCCAGCAGGGAAAATCGGGGATCTGGCTTGGGGAAAGGCAGGGAAATCAGGGATCTGCATCCCCCAGCAGGGAAATCAGGGATCTGCATCCCTGAGCAGGGCTGGGGAAAAGTCAGGGAAATCGGGGATCTGCATCCCTGAGCGGGGCTGGAAAAGCAGGGAAATCAGGGATCTGCATCCCTGAGCAGGGCTGGGGAAAGGCAGGGAAAATCGGGGATCTGCATCCCCGAGCGGGGATCTGCATCCCTGAGCGGGGAAATGGGGGATCTGGCTTGGGGAAAAGCAGGGAAATCGGGGATCTGCATCCCTGAGCAGGGAAATCGGGGATCTGCATCCATGAGCAGGGAAATCAGGGATCTGGCTTTGGGAAAAGCAGGGAAATCAGGGATCTGCATCCCTGAGCAGGGCTTTGGGAAAAGCAGGGAAATCAGGGATCTGCATCCCCGAGCAGGGAAATCAGGAAAGCAGGGAAATCGGGGATCTGCATCCCTGAGCAAGGCTTTGGGAAAAGCAGGGAAATCAGGGATCTGCATCCCTGAGCATCCTCTGCCTTCTCCTCAGCCTGGGAGAGCTCACCTGGGGATCCAGGCAGAGCTCGGAGCCCAAAGGGGCTCCAGGAGAGCTGGAGAGGATCCTGGGACAAAGCACAGAGGGACAGCACACAGGGAATGGCTGCACACTGGGAAAAGAGGGATTTGGGAAGCAATTCCTGCCCTTGGACAGCATTCCCAGAGATGAGGTTGTGTTTGAGGGTCCCAGGATGAGGGGAGAGAGGAGAATATTGACTCCATGCTTCAGAAGGCTGATTTATTTTATTATAATATTATATTAAATTAAATGCTGCACTAAAACTGTACAAAAAAGAACAGAGAGAAAGGATCCATGAATGGAAAGGAATGATAACAAAAGCTGGTGACTCTCAGAGTCCAACACATCTTTGGTTGGTTATTTAATATAAAAACTCAGATGGACCAATCCAAGCTGCACCTGTTGGTGAACAATGTCCAGACCACATTCCACAGCCATCAGAGTTGTTGTTTAATTTCTCTAATGAGGCTTCTCAGCTAGAAAAGGAGAAAAATCCAAGCAAAGGGTTTTCATCAGGATGTCGTGGTGACCCAGAGAAGCTGTGGCTTTCCCCAGATCCCTGGGA